TTGTATCATTTTATAGATTTTATAGACTTTGTTCATGAACCATTTAAGGGAGTATTGCTAAAAAAGCCGGTCAAGTAGGAATTTATACTTTGATGAGAATATCAAAAAAAATATGACTCTACTGTTTCTATTTATAATTCCAGGCAATCATGCCCCTTTTGTAGAAGGCTCCATTCTCCCTTACCTCCTTTATAGTCAATGTTTCATGTTCAAAGTATGTTTAATCCTAACTATATTTGCAGAAATGCTTTTGAGCTTAAGTTTACTGGTGCTGTTTCTGGATTTATTTATTTACTTGTTTGCTTGTTATAAGATTTATATGCCAATTCTATGGCTAGCAAAATTTTGATGAACCAGTCAGTTTATACAGAAGACAATGCCTATAAAAATGTCCCTCTCCTTTCATCTTTAAAAGCAGCTGCCTTCCAATAAGTACTGTCTTGTTTAATATGAATTTGACCAATTGCACTTTCTACATGCCAACAGTACACGCAATAAAACTCCGATATAATAACAATAAAATCAATAACCCAACCCCACCCCCGGTGACAACAAGCAATCAGACAAACCACTTGATGGGTTCCATCCCACTCTGGGTTCCCCAGGTCTGTTGGCAAAACCAGGTCTTCAGGGTCTTATGAAAGAATGTCAGAGTGAGGGGCCATTGATGACACTGCTTGAAGGCTAAATAAAGATTCACAACCACAGATTGGATTTACTGATAGAGAACAATACTAACAGATTATTCACTATTGGTTAATGTCAGAAAATAAATTAAATAAATATTTTAATCTGATTAATGCTACACTTGCTCTTAACCAAAAGGAGAAGCAACATTTTTATATAAGCTTGAAAAAGGAAACTTTCAAGAGACATCCATTAGATGGTGCTCCAGCTGTAACTTCTGACAATTCTACACATCTATACTTACTGGGGATGAAATGGTTATCTTGTTAGATTTATAAATGGACATTGTTAAGTTAACAAATTTAAAAGTAACACAGCATGCATGTATGAGGCAATCTGAAATACTGTATGTTCATTTGCTGTCAAAAGTGACTGCAACCAAAAACGCATTTCAAAATATTTTCCTTCAAACCATTTACTTAGATTAGATTATTTCCAGTTGTCATATGAGCTAGGCAAGTTATTGTGTGGAGTGGGGAGGGGAGGGGAAGAAAAACAATTATTGGTACCATGGTAACAGAATCAACAATACCAACATCAATAAACTCAACAAGCAAATTGGCATTTTGCTTTCAAAGCACTGTGAGCAATATCTCATGGCAATGTTTTATTAGATTTTTCTCTCTAATAATACTCTATTATATATGCGTAGGAGAAATAGTACATCCAGAGTAAATATAAGGCAAAGGAACATCTGAAAAGAAATGTGTAATTTAGGTTTTTTTTTTAAATGGCTTGTTCCCTATTTTATAAAAACTGAAGGTAATTATATAGAATGGAGGTGTAAAAAAGTGATAGAGAGAAACTATAAGAATAATATTTTACTTTGCCTCAGTAATATTCACTGAACTTTTGTGATTTTAAATGCAATTATTAAATGCAGTCATTTATTCCTTTATGCCAGGGGTCCCCAACCACCGGTCCGCGGACCGGTACCAGTCCGGGGAACAACTCCTACCGGGCCGCGGCTTGCTGGGCACCGCCATCTTTTTTTGATGAAAAAGTGCTTCCGGTGAGCTTTTCCGGGTAGAAAGCTCACCGGAAGCACTTTTTCATCAAAAAAAGATGGCGGCGCCCAGCTGATGCCGGTACCGGGCCGCGGCGCCCAGCTGATGCCGGTACCGGGCCGTGGCATCAAAAAGGTTGGGGATCACTGCTTTATGCCCAGAATCCTTTATAATTAGATGTCATGGCCTGCATAAAAAAGCATGAGCACACTTTACATAAAAGTGGAGTTTGATTGTATCCAAATAAAAATTGTCCAAATTTACTAATTCTACTCTTATTTTCAGTAAGGAATGCTATTATTATGACATGGATATAGCTAACGCTGGTCACCTAATTAATACCTTCTCCATCTTATTAAAAAGTGTTATGAAAAAACCTCGATGGATGGGATAGTAACGAAAATGTGATTGGACCACATGGATACCCAAGAATGCATGGGAATAACTGTTCTATGAGTCTTTGCCTACCTTAAATACATGGCTTAAACAGATGTTCACTCAAATGTCTACATACAAAGTAATAAACATAAAAGCAGGATTGATCTAAGAGTTCACAGCCACTCACAACATTCCCATCTCTTAAGACCTCTGAAAAAGCCAGTTTTAAAACCCAGAGTAGGGGCCATCCCAATCTCCTGGGGAATACTATTCCAAAGAAAAGGGGAGAAATGAAAAATAAAATGCCTCCAATCCTGAGGATGTTTATAGGACATCTCAAAGGGTACAGAACACATCTCAAACAGTCTCTGGCTGAAAGACCAAATTTTAGCTACTCTTCTTTCATATTTCCAGTAATCTGAACCCAACTAATTTTATATATATCTGTTAAGAAAAATTTACAAGATAAGAATATTACTGTAGATTCAATATAAAGCCATACTAATAGAGAAATAAATGAGGAGAATCATTTCTACAACATATTACTGGAGGAAAAGATTTGTTGGGGGAAAGATAATCCCAAAGAAATCCAGATCCTAATCTATGAAGGACTTCCAAGGTGATAGCCAGGACACTGAACTGCATCCTGACCTCAACTAATCTCCCTCCAGTGCAGCTCTTGAAGCAGCAGTGACAGAAGCTGCTCTTCAAGTTGTCACTTTCCCATCCAGTTGTAGAAGCAAGTTGCAACAGACTAAACGCAAGCTTACTAAAGTGTAAGTGACTGAGAGAAGGGCTTCTAGATTGGGAAGGTTTGGGGAAAAGTCTGATTGAAAGGGTGAAAGAGGTGACAACCAGCACATTTAGGAAACATAGTATAGTTTTACGCTAAAGAGTGCAGATTTTTAGCCTTCAAAAAATCATTGAGAAAACTGCAAATGTGAGAAAGAAAGTTTAGTGTACATTTGTTGATTCAAATAAAGTATATGATAACCGAAGTAGATTTGAAATTTAGATTGTTTCACATAAACATGTAATTGAAAGCTGGTTGCTCTATCTGATGCGATGGTAGTAAAAGAAGTACACGCATAAATAGAATGCATAGCGAATATTTCAACATTGTGGGATAAAGGAAGGAAGTGTGTTGTCTCTCTTTGTGTTTAATGGATCAGAGATGATTATGGTGATTTTAAAGATGTGAGAGACTGGAGAGAATGTCTAGTCTAACAAAGGAACATCTCGTCTATTAAAAGAAGGACTAGAGGTGACATGATAGCAGTCTTCTGATATTTGAGGGGCTGCTACAAAGAAGAGGAAGTCAAACCTGTTCTGCAAAGCACCTGAAGGCAGGACAAGAGACAGTGATGGAAACTATTCAAAGAAAGAACCAACCTAGAAATAAGAAATTTCCTTACACTCCAAGGTTCCTTCCAACTCTATTACTCTATTATTCTGGAATTGATGAGATCATCAGAGGGAGAAAGAGAGGGACAAGAAGTTTTTTAAAAACTCACTGTATGGTATGAATTAACATATCGGTGTGATGGTGTAAGTAAATTTTGGGAGTTACAACAAATGGAGTGTGTACAATATAGTTTTAGCTGTTTCCTTTTCTTTTTCTAATGTCATCCTTTTCGTTGTCTTAATTGGTTTCTGTGCTCTGTAAACATTTAATCCAAAAGAAAACAGCATGATATACTATATATGTTCTTGAAACAATGTGGTTAAGGGATTAAGTTTTGGAAACTATTCAAAATTACACTAAAAATAACTTTAGAAAATGTACACCTGCCTTATTTGGAACTCTGTAGAAATCTCAAAATTTGGTTTGTCTGTTTTGGCAAATATCCCAAAATATACAATGTGAATTATGAAACAAGGTTCACTGAGACTATGTATAAAATTTTGTCAAGGATTTAGGAAATTGAAACCAATCTCTTTCCATGTCCTTTGTGAACTGAAGCTACCATTTAAGACTAAATCTGATCAGACTATTCCAGAGATTAATGGAGAGGGAAAGTTGGTGAACCATTGCAAACCTAGAAATTATTTTGATTTTTCAGGGTCTTAAATTTTAATTTGCTGCATAATTCAAAGTGCTTCTTAGCCAAGCAAAACTTAAACAAATTTTGTATCATCTTGCAGCAATAGTGCAATTAACCATAAAGCCTTGAGAATAGAATACACCTGCTTAATATTTACATAATGAATTCCTGGTCTATATAACACAAGTTCCACCCTGTCAGCATCACCTCGTACCATTATTAAGTATACAGTGGATGTATGCAACTGATTTTTAGAAGCTTAGGACAAGTAGCAAGCACATTTGGTTTATTTTCAACTCACTGAATATTTTCAAAAAGCTACCATTAATAATGCTGGAAGTCAGGCTTAATTAACATGCACTTTGTCCATTTTCTTTGTCATAAAAATTTCAAGGAATGACATCTGTTAAAATTCCTAGCTTGAATTAAATGACAATTATTACTGTGTTGAAAGCTAATTTACTGCATTAACAAATTCCTTAAACATAGAGAAACTAGTTGCTATGCAACTATGGAATGTCCCGGTTATGTTGAACAATATATGTGATATATTCTACTTAAAGTAATAATGAGCATCACTGACATCATCATCCTGAAAAGTTATACAATTGGAAAAGGTGCTTTTGGTCACCTGAGGCTGAAGAAAAGTAAAAAGTGAACTGTGGCCAGAGGTTTTTTGGAAACCTGGAAGACACACCAGAGGTTTTGGGGGAGGTCTTCTCTGGCATCCTGGATTGGGAAGCCCATGAAATTTTCCAAACTACTGTATACTTGCAGATTGTTTCATCACACTATCAGACGTAGTTTTATAAAGAAAACAATGCAATTGGTGAAAATATATATATCAATTACTGTTTAAAATTGGTATTAAAATTATACTTACTTTTCCGTAGCTCAGCAGGATGATTCTTACCAGGACAACGTTAATATGGGCACCTAAAGATTCATCATGATAGATTTCGTTAACCTACAACAGAACATGAAAATATCCATGTAACATGACAATAGTGTGGATAAAGCCACGTGTAAAAAACTTTTAATTCAAAATCTACTTAATAATAGCATATTTACCTAACAATCAAGCTGCAACACTGTATTAAATTAGAACCTTGGAAATAAAATGCTAGCTGTGACATTTTAAAATATTGTTTTATTTCCCCAACACCAGAAAAGAACATGAAGGATTATTGCTAAGGCAGAAAAGAAAAAAGCACATTTGTTATGCTTAGGTTATAATTTGTATTTACTTATTAGTTAAGAAAACTTTCCTATTCAATTAGCTTTTGAGAGGAATGGTGGTACAAAACTATTTAAAAAAAGGTGATAGTGATGTGCAAGACTCACCTGCCTCATAAGTTTATGGATTGTAAGGACATTGTACCTTGTCAAGTTTCTGAATAGCAATAGTACTTAGACTTATATAACACTTCATGGTGCTTTACAGCCCTCTCTAAGCAGTTTACAGAGTCAGCATATTGCCCCCAACAATCTGGGTCCCCATTTTACCAACTTCAGAAGGATAGAAGTCTGAGTCTACCTTGAGCTGCTCAGAATCGAACTCCTGGAGTGAGCAGTGAATTACGGTAGCCTGCATTCTAACCACTGAGCCACCATGGCTCTGTCTTCAATGGTATAAGAGCAGGGATACAATAATTCTTGCCTAGCACCAGCTTTCTTAGAAGACTCAGACTGAGTGGGTACCTTTCCCTGCCTTTGCTTCTCATCCTACAAAGTTTTAGCACCCTATGCATACTATGAAATGTTTGAATAAACTTAGAAGGATGCTTTATCTTAGTGAACAAAGTGATAAACCATTCTGTGACTCTCTCATGCTTTTATTAACATAGCTGTGGGGTGCACTTGTTTGTTTATTACTTTTAAGATGAAAATAAGGTATCTCTGAGAATTGCCAAGTCTTCACAAATCCCTTCCTCACAAACAAGACTCCATATTACAGTCAAAAATGATGTATACATTGATTGATTATGTTTGTCTCTAATACAGCCTATCCCTAACATGTCTTTTAGATCTTCCCAACAGTACACTAATTAATACTGTAACTGGGTCCAACCAATTTGTACTGATCATCTGCTTCTCCTTCTTTCCTCCTTTTTCAGTATAACAGCCAGGCATCTGAATATATTTTCCAAAGACTTCATGACTGCCCAACCAAGCGGTAGCCATGACCTGTGGCATATTTCTTGACTGCTTGCTTCCTTATTGTTGATGATAGATCCTAAAAGGCAGAAGTTATCCACCTATTTTGATTATCAGTTTTAAAAACATACAAATAAAGTTGGGCTCATGCAGTTGACCCTAGTGATATCAACTGTGGTTGAATGTGTTATGCAAACTGAACCACGGTTTGTAAATCATACCTTAAACCTTGGTGTGTTTTATGACTTTAGAACCTGTGAATAATATTGTGGTTTATTCAATAATAATAATAATTAAACCTGATCATAATATTTGGAGCCATGCATAGCTAAAAGGTTTTTTGAAGTGCATGAAAAAGAAAAAAGTGAATGGCAAGATTGCAGGTTTAATTATATTTCAAGTAATTATTAGTTTTATTGACCTATTAGAAATCTTATAGGCAACTTACAAAAATGAAGCTTGATAGGGTAACTTACACAATTAAAGTATTTCTCAATAGTTTCCAAAAGGATGACTGTTTTAGAGTGGATTGTAACAAAGACAACAGTCTTCTGGCATGTTCAAGGCTCATAAAATTATAAACCTGGTTTCATACAACTTGCTTTGTTTCAGAAGTTATATGTCTGTGGAAATTCTCAGTCATCCAGATCATGATTGTCCCAAAGGTGCTTTTTCAAGAGGCAACTGGGCTTTCTAATTTTTCTTTGAAGATGTTTTGCTTCCCATCCAAGAAGCTTCTTCAGCTCTGACTGGATGATGGGGAATTGAAAGATTTTTACTCCTTGCAGACAGCTGGTCATTTTCATTCTTTTAGGGGGTCATTAAGGTCACCTGGAGGTTTATCTGTGTCATCAGGTCACCTGAGTGGTGCAAATTAGTGTGGAGCCTTCTTGGAACTGTTGAAAGGACTGTGTTATAGATTGGAGATAGATGATGAGAAGCTAAATGTCTTCAAAGAAAAATCAGAAAGTCCAGTTGACTCCTGAAAAAGCACCTTTGGTTCAGAAGTTATACATTCCCTGAATCAAAAGGGGACCAGGCTGAGAGAGGCTGGGACAAATACCCATGAACTAGAATTTGCTACATCGGATTTGGAAAGAATTATCCTCACACAAATGCACATGCCCATTTCTATGAACAAACACACAGTGGAGACAGAGAGAAACTATACACAGCAGGTCAGAGGGAAATGAAATTCAATCCCACCAAAAACATTGAGACAATGAAAATGAAAGCATGAACTTTTCACAACAGCAGTACTGAGGACAGCAGTTTAGGTGGGCTCAATTTTTTAAAAAAAGCTATATTTAATAGTCATGTTAGATACTATGACAGCAGTCTGGATAATAGACATGAAACTGTTTTAGAAAATTAGATATTCTGCCGATCATTATTTATACTGGACAGAAAAGCATTGCTATGGTAATGGGAGAATAACATAGCTAATAAATAGGGCCATCACTTTGTAAAGTGGGCTCAACACATGGAGCATCCATCTCTATTGGATCAGAAGAGAAATTTGTCCCAATTCCAACTATGAATATGGCTGTGGAAGTTATCCATGGGCTTATTCCCAATGGATGGATTGCAGTTTTCTCTTTCTTTCTTTCTTTCTTTCTTTCTTTCTTTCTTTCTTTCTTTCTTTCTTTCTTTCTTTCTTTCTTTCTTTCTTTCTTTCTTTCTTTCTGCAAATCATATGAATATAAGGAAGTTATCTTGTTAGAGAATTCTTGTTAGAGAATTTGACCCTCTTGCCTGGCACTGTATTTAAACAGCAACACCAGTTCTTTCAAAAAGATTCTTCCTAATACTATCTACTTAAGGCTTTGGGGGGGGGAAGTCTTTGGCACCCAAATCTTCAGCCTTTTGCATGCAACCTGTTACAAGTTGCTACAGATTTGTAAATGATGGGAGAAAAGGAGACATAAACCATATATGAGAATTCCATTGCTTTTGGGGAGAACATTGGTTTTGCAGGTTCAATCCCTAACATCTCCATTTCTTTAAAGCAATGAGAAAAACTGTGCTTCAAGCTCTGAAGAGCCCTGGCCAATCTGGAAGGACAAAGTGAGCTAGTTTGTTCTAATAGAAGGCAGATTTTCATGGCCAGATTCATTTCTGTTTTCAGCTGGAAGGTAGGCTGCATGGAAGGACATAACAGTTATTCAGAAACCACTGCACAATATATGTAAGCCTCAAAATCTCAGTGGACTACATTACTTTTGCTTTCATGACCGTTCTGTAAACATTCTAACAAATCATCCTATATCAGCTGCTAATCAAACTTTGTTAAAAAAAAATCCACAAAATATATGCATTGGCAAAAATAGCTAGTCTGGAATTCTTTGTCTCCTCTGTGACAACAACATTGGCTGTCAGAGGCTACAGACTCTCTTCTGGATTCAAGATCAATTTATGATTTATTAAGTTCCTCCCTCAGGCTACTTGGCCTTCTCAACTTTTGCTTATAAACTACAGCACCAAAACAAAAAGCAAAAAACCCAACCCTTAAAAGTATGTATAAACACTGTTTCCCTCAGCCTCCTCTGCAATCTCCAGATCATATAATCTGTTGATAGAAGGATGTCATAATTAGTAGCTGACTGTTTACAATTCATGGAAATGGGCTAATTAGGAAGCATATAGACAGCCAGTATGATGTAGCCCTGACCTACAATAGTACAGATTAAGACTGTATTTCTCCAAATTCCCAGTCATGATTGGAAAACCATGAATGCTACTTGAAGAGTAACATATTATACAAGATCTGTGAGGTTTCCCCACCTACTGTATACTCCCAGTTCTGTTTCAAAAGAGAAACATATCAAACTTGCATGATTGGGAAAATTCAGGGTGGAAAAATAATAAAGTAAATTGGAGGCGTTTATAAACGGGATTAGATAAGGGCTCCATAAAGAGTATAAGGCAAGTTTTGAGGCACTTCACCAGCAGAATAAAAAAACCAGAATAATGGCAGGGAGTTTGGAGGCCTCTTAGTCCAACCCCTTGCTCAAGCAAGAGACCCAATACTATTTCAGACAAATTGTTGTCCAATTAAAAATCTCCGGTAATAAGTACTGCATCACTAGGTAGGTTTAATTTTTTTAATTTATTCAAGAGAAGAACTGGATAGCAACACCACATTTGTTGTCCCACATGTTTGGAGAGATCCAAGGTAAGAAAGGTTTCCTTAGAGGAGGGGTGTCAAATTCACGTCATCACGGTGGCATCACGTGACGTATCAGGACTTTTCCCCCCTTCACTAAACCGGGCAAGGGCATGGCCAGCTCATGATGCATCTGGCCCACAGGCTGGGAGTTTGACAGCCCTGCCTTAGAGTCTTTGTCATTCACTGTAATAGGAGACATCTCAAACAGATTTAACAGATAATCAGAGTTGGAAGGGACCTTGTAGGTCATCTAGTCCAACCCGACGCCCAAGTGGGAGATCCTACACCATTTCTGACAAATGGCAGTCCAGTCTCTTCTTGAAAGTCTCAACTGATGGCGCTCCAACAACTTCCGAGGGCAAGGTGTTCCATTGGTTGATTGTTCTCACTGTCAGAAGGTTTTTCCTTATTTCCAGGTTAAATCTCTCCTTGTTCAGTTTCCATCCATTATTCCTTGTCTGGCCTTCAGGTGCTTTAGAAAATAGCTTGACCCATTCCTCTCTGTGGCAGCCCCTCAAATATTGGAACACTGCTGTCATGCCTGCCCTGGTCCTTCTCTTCACTAGACTAGCCAAGCCCAGTTCCTGCAAGCGTTCGTTGTATTTTTTAGCCTCCAGTCCCCTAATCATCCTCGTTGCTCT